GAATAGTGGAATTGCACCAGGGAATTCGTGCTCAGTAATCATGAAACTCTGTGGGTGACCAGGACTGGAAAGAGATTAAACACTTAGGAATGAAAAGTCAGAACAGTAAAGTAGTAAGCTACTTGGCAGTTATAAGTGCTAAAATATTCAACCAAAGGGGACAAAAGCCTTAAGCATATGTGTTTTGTACTTCTCAACCATGGCTACAGTTCTGCAATATAATTATTAATCAAATACCTATGCAACAATTAAATATATTCTTAGAGAAAAAATATAACCTCCTATTTTCTTTTTCTTTTATTTCTATTTGGAGATAAGGCATGCAATGGGTTAATGCCTCTCCAGCTGTATTTGTTTTCCAATGAGATTCTTTTACAAACATTTACTGTATTTATCAAATGTAATTGTGAGACTCTATTTTGCCTAGATAACATACAACTAATCAGATTCTTATTGTGCAGGGCAATAACAAAAAAAGTATAGCAAAAGAACCTAATTGAAAGTAAAGCCTCAGTATGAAATAAGGGAATAATAAACAATTTCTTAAGGTCGAACAACTGGATTTTGGAAGTCAACCCTGTTATATCTGCACTTTGGGAAAATTCTTGTATTTTTTTCATTGTGTTATCTTGATTTCTTGTTTCCCAAATTTCTGGCTTTCATCTAGACTAAATGATGAGGGCTCTTCACTTGCCTACAAGTGTGCAGAGGATGCATTTGACCCAAAAGTTCCCTCCATGTTTTGTCCATGAAACACTGCCCATCTGAATCTATCTGTAAATTAATAATGATGAGGATGAGGATGATGATAGTAATAATAATAACAACAATAATAATAAAGTTGGAAGGGACCTTGGAGGTCATCTAGTCCAACCCCCTGCACAGGCAGGAAACCCTATACCATTTCAGACAAATGGCTGTCCAGTCTCTTCTTAAAAACTTCCAGTGTTGGAGCATTTACCACTTCTGGAGGCAGATTGTTCCACTGGTTAATTGTTCTAATTGTCAGGAAGTTTCTCCTTAGTCCTAGGTTGCTTCTCTCCTTGATCAGTTTCCATCCGTTGTTTCTTGTCCTGCCTTCAAGCGCCTTGGAAAATAGCTTGACTCCCTCTTCTTTGTGGCAGCCCCTGAGATATTGGAACACTGCTATCATGTCCCCGAAGGGGCAGTGTATCATCAGACAGCCTTTTAACACTCTGGGCACTGTTAGAAGGAGAGCCATGGGCACCACCACCTCACCTCACCTCACCGGAGGTCAGACTGACCCCATCATCATTATATATAATAATATACCGTATATGCCGGCGTATTAGGCGACCCAGCGTATAAGACGACCCCCGTCTTTATAGCCGGGCCGCATTCCTATAACGTCGTCTTATACGCCGGAAACTACCAGTATTTCCGGCGTATAAGACTACTCGGCGTATAAGACGACCCCCGTCTTTGGCGCCGATTTCAGTGCTCGCGGAAGTCGTCTTATACGCCGGCATTTACGGTATATTAATGGCAAAATGTTGTATAATTCATTTGTATTATGCATGCCTGAATAATTTGAGAACAGTTTTTGAATGACTCCTCACAAGAAATTTGGCAATATTATCAAAGCAAATCCTTTAATTATTCATAGTTTCTTGGCATAAATTCTACCTTCATGTCATAGAAATAGGTTCTTTAAAATATTACCCTTATTAGGAGTTTTTTATTAGCAAATTATATTTTTGTAATCTCATTTCAATAATTCTGCTGCATTTGGATTTGCAACTTATATTTATATGTTCACAATTGATTCAGTTCCGTTCCACCATTCATATTTTTTAAATAATTTCATTCTTCCTGAAACTAAATTTATCCTTAGACATTAATGGGTATTGTACGAGTTAAATAGGAAAAGCCCTAATTATGAACAAAACGTTAGCTTTTACTTCAGATTTTGATAAACAGAACTGATTATTTTTGTGATTTCTGTTTAAGTTCAAGATGATATCATTTAAACCCTTGAGCCATCATGCTTAGATAGAAAAGAGTTAAGAGAAATTCACATTAGAAGTGTCAAACAACATCTTGTGAACATTTCAAACATATAAGCAATGCAAACAAACCAAGAAAAACAATAAATATCATACAAAAATTGTTGGGGGTAACAAAATAAAATATTCTGTTTTTTTCTAACTATTCTTAGGTGAAAAGGGTAAAGTTAAAGAAGAAAATACAACTAGTAATTGGAAGAAAGGAGCTATTTAATCAATGAAGTTTTATCAATCATAATACACTGATATAAAAGCAGAGTCTAAGCTGTCTTCTTTGTCCCAGTTGAATGATTCTAAGGCAATAAACTAAAAAAGATGCATATTTCATTTCCAGAGGACTGTCTACCAATGCATGATACTTTGATTTAACAAATAAAACTTACCCTACTAGTTCACAAGCCAAAATGACACTGTAGATATATGACAACATTTATGTTTGGAGAAATGGATAACCAGCTCTAGATTAAGTCAGACAGCTTATTAAATAGTGCCTAGCTTGAAGCCAGCACAGATTTTAGAACATTAAGCTTGTCCACAGCAAAATAAGTAAATAAGTAAACAAACTTTTAATATATTATTTTAAAAATGGTTGTGTCAAGGGGAAAATAAGAAGAAGGAGCATTATGTATATTTGCCACTTTGAAATATGTATTAAAATAATAAAGGTGAGATAAAAATCTAATTAATAAATAAATAACCTTTGCTTTTCATTTATATTTAATTTTGTTCTATGTTGATATCATGTTAATTTTTATGTTTTAATTTCATAATAGATATTAGTGAAACTGGTTTTTGCTATTAACATATCCCTTATATTTAAACAAATATTTTTTAAAAATTTCGGTTTAATTTTTATTGCAAAATATGCTCAAATGATTTAAATCTTAACAGTTTTGTACTCCACCAATTTTGCAATATACATTTAAATACAAATGTAGATTGTGGCAAAACGTAAGATTTAGATACTATATAAAATTATCTCCATTTTCTTTATCTATGAACCATGCTGTTCCATAGGTCAGGTGGAAAGTTATATACATGGTTGAAAGATTGCTAAACAATAATTTTATATAAAGCCAACCTTAATCAAAATAGATTAGTGGCTTTAAGTTCAATTTATTTATTTATTTATGAGACTTATATACCGCTTTAAGTGCAAGCACTCTCTAAGAGGTGTACACCAGTAAGCAATGTATATATATATTTACATTGCCCCCAACAATCTGGGTCCTCATTTTACCTACCCCGGAAGGATGGAAGGCTGAGTCAACCTTGAGCCGGTGAGATTTGAACCGCTGACTTGCTGAACACAGTCAGCTAAAGTGGCCTGCAGTACTGCACTCTAACTGCTGCACCACCTCGGCTCAATATGGTAATGATGACTTTATAAAAGAGATAAAAACTTGTTTGGAGGTTAAAAATATATAAGTCATAGAAGCAGAGCAGTATCCTTGAAAACCTGGTAAGAAAGAATCATACTGGTAAGGTTATAGTTTGCCAGATCCATTTGCAATACAATTATTTTTTCATTATTTTCAAAATGGCAAATAGTCACTAAATAAGGCAGTAGGCAAACAATCAATCAAGAAATGCATTTCAAGGAACATAATTTATAAGTGCACACCATAAGACTACTATCAGAATACAATGTCCTAAAAATTGTGTTCTGAAATAATACCTATGTTTGTGCAAACATGATATACAAAGAGATATTAAAAATGTTTCAGAAATAATATATGTAACTTTAATTAACTTTACCTAAAACAAAACTAAGTAAATTGCAATCATGCATGCAACTTAGTTGTAGAACGCAAAAGTTCACTTAATATTTTTATGTAATGAAATAGAGCACAAGTTTGTGAACTAATCCCTGCAGTTTTCAGAAAGGCTTGCCACTGCCTCCATCCTAGTACCAATTTTAAAATTATTAAAGAAACCATGGATCATGTTTGTGATAAAGTAGAAACATTTATCAGTATTACACCTATTATAAACTAATTTCTGGATTAACCAACTAAATTAATTATACATTTAATTAAAATCCCATTATATTTTAAACCCCAGTATCAGTCTCAAATAACACCTCTGTTTCCAAAATCATCTCTAGGCCTTTAAAAACCCCACTGACACTCGCAGAAGATAAAAACGCTAGATGACTGTAGCCATCTTCATAACACAGTTTTAGATTGCCTTAGGCATAAAAGCTGGCTGAGTGATTTTGGGCCGGTGATTCTCTTTCAGGCCAACTCATCTTACAAGGTTGTTATTGGGGGTAAATAGGAGGACGAAGGAGTATTAGGTATATCTTGAATTATTTATAAAAAATAATAAAGGTGAGATAAAAACAATATTTAGAAAACCAATGCATATTTGTTCAACTCTATATAGATAATTTAGCATATTTTCATGAATACCTATTGGCCTTAAAAGAACAGAGAGGACTAGGAGAGGACTTCAGGGAAGATCATCTAGTACTAAATGAACAGAAAACTATAATAATAGTTAGGGTCACATTGCATTCACTGAGTTATATTTCTATATAAAATAGTTTTTTTTAAAAAAAACTTTTATTACCTGTAATAATTTCAGAGAAAAATAAATATTACTGTTCAAGATACAATATTGATTCTCAGCATGAACAGCAATATTTGAACACCAAGAATTTAAAATTGCATGTTGGCCACAACTATAACAAAATTCTAAGAATAAAACAATTCAGTGTTAACTAGTATTTGCCCCCCAAAAATACTTCCTAGCTACCTAGTATAAAATGAGAGACAAAAACAAAAATAAGAAAATAGACATACATAATTAGCCAGTACTGTTTACAAAGCAACATGGTTTTAAAAATGAAAAATTCTCTATATCCAAATTTCCTTCATTTTTATTCTGACATGAAATGCCCACGTCTCAGATTACAACTACAATACATTTAAATCAATTATTAGTGCATTTTCCAAGAAAATGGCTTACCTCAAATTCAGCATGCCTGTGAATATCTTCCGCTCTCTGCCTACTCAAGATAAAATCTGCTTCATTTGCTACCCTCACTAAATGATCCTTCATTGTTTGACTTAGCAACCTATAAATGCAAAATATTTAGGACAAAGAAATTGTGAATTTATAAAATAAAACATTTTATAATATTTAGCTACTGGAATAAACAGAGGCAATAATTGTGATTGACTATCTAAAACAAATTTCCTGTTAACTCCAAGAGATAGAGTTTTGTTTTCAGCAAGATGCAGATTCCATTATCATAAGTGCTGACTATTATACAAACGAGTTTCATCATATAAGTATATAAGGAATATGTATTTGTTGCAAGTAGTACCAAATATATGTAGCTATTCTTGAAAGAAAGTAGAAATTGGAAATCTAATTCCACAAAGATAGTTATATGATCAAAACAAATAAACAAATGCATATGGCAAATAAAAAATGAAATTCTAAAAATCCATTTCACAGATTAAATTTTTAATTCAAAGTAAAAAACACTATTTAAATTTCTTTCTCCATTCTTTCAAATCATTTCCTTTTGATATCATTTCTACCTTTATCATTCCTTTACTCCTTTTAATGTTCTGCTCAGTTATTTACTATGGTTTTATATCAGAAGTTATTGAAGTATTATGATTATGAACATAGAACATTGGCATTAACTTGTAGTTTATAGCAGCATAGTTCTCAACTAGCTGCATATTATATTCAAAACCAAATATATTTATGTGGTATTAAATGAATTAAAAGTAATAATTACAGAGTTTTTGTGAGGAAAAGTATCCCAGATCATTTTAATGAAAAATTATTGAGATACATTTCCTCATAAAACCTCTGTAATTATTTTATAATCAGTATAATAGCTTTTCTTTTTATTCTACATTTTTATACAAATAATATGACTGATTATCTCACCATATCTATGCATTGAAGCCTGGCTTGCAAACCTTTATTATGCAACAAGGGTGAATTATTTTGAAATTTGTAGATTTATTATTTAACTAATCATGGCTTATAATGCCTAAAAATCACTTCTGCTTTTCTTCCCTCTGTCTTTGCTCCCTCTTACTACCAATATTTAAGACAGGTTTCAGAATCAACAAAAATATTTGAATTCAAAAGCTAATTAGTACTACTATTAAATTTGGGTGCATTATACTATACAATGTAAGCATAATTTTTCTTAAATATATTACTGTTTACTTCTGAAATCTGTATATTTTTACAAATATATATTCTCTGCCAAGGTGGTAACAAATCCTGATGTAAATATATCAAGCAGAAATATTAAAATATAAAGCACGCCTTTAACACTAATATTAAAAATGCTAAAATATATATTTTATAGACAAAAAACTTAATAGCATATTATATTATATTATATTATTTTCAAATGTATTGTTATCTCTCTGTATGATTTTGATTCAGTTTAGTTTATTATTTCACTTAAAATAATTTTGAACTGAAAATCAATGCATTTTATCCAAATTTTGAAAAAGGCTTTACCCTCATATGCATTAGTCTTTGCACTCTAAAATTCACTGCTATTTTAACATATCCTGCTACTGAATATACACTTTTAGATTATTTAAAAATACTGATTTATCTTTTAGGAAAAATTTATAAAATCTGGATGGGGATTAATGTCTTTGAGTGTCATGCATAAATAGAAAATGCAGAGAAAAACATAACTGGCTAGACCATCAGTTTCACTATCTGCGGATTATTTTGAAGCATAGCTCCCCGATGGTATTTGTGTAGACTACTTCATCTCAAACATCTGAAGTTAGGAATGAAAAAGACTTGCACTTCAGAGGGGTTAGCTTCCAGATTCAGATATCAAAGACCATAACTTTTATTTTAGAAATAAAATTATATCCACATAAATGTTATCTGCAATGCTTAGCAATGACCTACAGTTGCTTTATTTGGAAACATCTGTACTAAAAATGAACTTGAAAAACTGAATTTACATTTATTTTAAAATAACCAGGACCTTTTGTGAAACTATATGTTAAGGAATAATGCAAATTACAATGTATTTTTATATTTAAAATAGTTATGTATAAATGGTTATTTTTTTAAAAAAATGCTGATCTGGAAAAATACATCAATCCAATATAAGTTCTAGTTCACCAAGAGTTATGTATTAGGCTCTGTTAAGTAGCTGACAAGCTATTGTATTTAAGCCAAAGAAAATATGACCGAGCCCTTGTAACTTACTACAATCAACCCAGAAGAGTTAAAGCAACATGTATCTTCTATAAACATACTGTGATTACAAGTAAAAAGAAGCTAAATCTTAAACTATTACCACAGAGTATTGACGATGAAGAGTATTTAGAAACTAGATCAGACCTACAAAGTTAACTATCCAAAAGAATGTGTAGCATATTTTTAAATAAAAACATTTGAAAACTTAATTGTAAGTGATCAGAGGAGGCAAATTTGTATGCTTAATCACTACAAAACAATAGTATTAAAGCTAAGATGAGGTAAGGATACATTTAAGCTAACTAGGAAGTTACCTTCCTTCATTGACAAGTTCAATGAAAGCTAGGCCTGCATTCTTCTGTATTGAGTTCTGCCATTCCTATAATACAAAAATGATTAAAAAAAGATAATTAAAATGCATTAAAAGAAACATAATTGTTTTACTTAACTAGTAAAAATAAAAAATTAAAATTTTATGACAGATTAAAAAAAGATCATGAACAAAATACTAGAGCTGATAAAATATCACATAAGCTGAGTTCACTTATTGCCCTATAGTATTACAAGTTATTATGGCTAGCTTCATGTATTTCAAGCCAAGTAAAAAAAAAAAAACAAAAAACCAGAATGTGGGATAGGTGGCATATGAACCATTATCTGTCTAATATCTATTCCTAAATTTAAGTGAGTTAAGTGTTAAGTGAGTTTTGCTCCATTTTACAACCTTTCTTGCCACAGTTGTTAAGTGATTCACTGCAGTTGATAAGTTAGTAACCTGGTTAAGTGAATCTGGCTTCCCCGTTGAGTTTGCTTGTGAGAAAGTTGCAAAAGTTGATCACATGACACAGCAACGGTCATAAGTATGAACCAGTAAATGTTTCCCCCATATGTATTTTAATAGTGAATGAGAGGGGAGGAGAAGAATATAATGCCTATTGCCTGTTATATTTAATCCAACATTCTAACACGGTATACATATCCTATATTGCAATTAAATTCATGGAGCCAAGTGCACTGTTATATTAAGACCTTTGTTATTCTTTTCCCTAAAGTGTTAATAAAAACATAAGTAGTAGTAGTAGTAGTAGTAGTAGTAGTAGTAGTAGTAGTAGTAATAATAAAGTTGGAAGGGACCTTGGAGATCATCTAGTCCAACCCCCTGCTCAGGCAGGAATCCCTATACCGTTTCAGACAAATGGCTGTCCAGTCTCTTCTTAAAAACTTCCAGTGTTGGAGCATTCACTGCTTCTGGAGGCAGGTTGTTCCACTGGTTAATTGTTCTAACTGTCAGGAAGTTTCTCCTTAGTTCTAGATTGCTTCTCTACTTGATTAGTTTCCACCTGTTGCTTCTTGTCCTGCCTTCAGGCGCTTTGAAAAATAGCTTGACTCCCTCTTCTTTGTGGCAGCCCCTGAGATATTGGAACACTGCTATCATGTCCCCCCTCATCCTTCCCTTCATTAAACTAAACACACCCAATTCCAGCAGCCGTTCCTTATATGCTTTAGCCTCCAGTCCCCTAATCATCTTTGTTGCTCTTCTCTGTACTCTTTCTAGTCTCAACATCTTTTTTACATCATGGTGACCAAAACTGGATGCAGTATTCCAAGTGTGGCCTTACCAAGGCATTGTAAAGTGGTATTAATACTTCATGTGATCTTGATTCTATTCCTCTGTTGATGCAGCCCAGCACTGTGTTGGCTTTTTTGGCAGCTGCAGCAGACTGCTGGTTCATATTTAACTGATTGTCCATTAGGACTCTGAGATCCCTCTCACAGTTACTATTATTGAGCAAGGTACCCCCATACTATACCTGTACATTTGGTTTTTCTTGCCTAAATGTAGAACTTTACTTTTTTCACCATTGAATTTCATTTTGTTAGATAACGCCCAGTGTTCAAGTCTGTCTAGATCCTCTTGTATCTTAAGCCTGTCTTGTGGAGTATTGGCTATTCCTGCCAGCTAGGTGCAAATTTGATGAGTTCCCCATCTATCCCCTCGTCCAAATCGTTGATGAAGATATTGAAGAGCACTGGGCCCAGAAGAGAGCCCTGGGGCACCCCACTACATACTTCCCTCCATGTAGATGCGGTTCCATTGAGGACCACATGCTGAGTACGGCCGGTCAGCCAGCTACGAATTCATCTGGTGGTGATGCTGGCTAACCCACATTTTTCTATCTTATTGAGTAGTAGGTTGTGATCTACTTTATTAAATGCCTTACTGAAGTCCAAGTAAATTATATCCACAGCATTCCTCTGATCCACTAATTTTGTCACTTGGTCAAAGAATGCAATAAGATTTGTCTGGCATGATTTGCCAATCACTAATGAAATCCAATAATTGTAACATCATTTCAGCAGTTTAAAAAAACTGCAACAAAAAACTGACAAATTCAACTCATAATTAACCCATATAGTATGGCTGTAGTGTTATTATTTACCCTTCTTGCTATCTTCACTTTTCCTTTATTGGTATTTTATTGGTATTATTATTATACAATATTATATTATATAAATTCCTTGTATGTCTGATCACACTTAGCCAAATAAAGTATTCAACTCAATTCAAAAATTTCATACCTATTATAAACTGATGCTATTTCCTATTCCTATAAAATGTATCTTGCCTGTTTCCAATTTCTATGATCATACTGAAACTTATAGAAAATTTGTCAATATTTTATAACCAGGAGCAAGAATGTAAAATAGTATTAGACCTGTAATATAAGTTGCCAGAAAACCGATTAGGCGATAAATACAAGATCTACATCTAGGTAATCTTTTATAATTTAGAATCTTTAAAAACAGTTCCTGGAAATTGGAGTAAGAAGCTGGAATGTGATCAGCAGCAGATGAAAGTTTTGCTTTCATGTCAAGGCAATGTAGATATAATCAGACACTTCAGGTTCCTGACATATTGGACACCTCTGCTTAAAAAGAAACCTAAGATCTGAATATACATATATGGATCTGTATACAGTTTGTGTCCTATCAAGCATCAGATATAACAGTGTCTTTGGTTGGGGCAGACATGCAACTATGAATTTGTATGTACATTTGCATGCATGTGTATATGCATTCAAGAAGTTATTTTATGTTCATTATAATTACATTATTTTCTTCATCATTAGAAAACTGTCTCCTAATTAAATTATTTTCATTGGTCAATAGTATTTCCATTTCTTCCACTTCTAATTCTATTCCACCCTCCAGATTTTCCAACTAGCTGAGGAACCAGGATAAAGATGGCTTCCAAATCTCAATTCATGTATCACACACAGTATTCTATGCTTTCCTGATGTTTAAATGTTCCTCTCTTCATTCTAAAGAACTGAATGGCCAGTCCATGAATGTAAAGTCAGAGGGCTGCCCATTCCAACTCTTTAGTATTGAACTTAATTATTTATGAAGGAATAGCATGTAACATTAAATTTTGATTGTTTATGGTAATCACATTGCCATAAAAATTTAATTTGGCAATGAACCATCTATATATACTTCTCCAAGGATGTAACTTTGCCGAAAGCTTTATCTGAGACACATTTTTCTCTTATATAACGCAAAGGGTCTGCTTTCATAAAGTTGTGATAAAAGTTGATGAAAGTTGCTCAAGTCCACTCTTTTACAGGTTGCAACAGATGATCAACATTAAACCTATATCAAGCTTCTGGAGTTGAATTGTACAAATGTGTTCTATTAGTACACAGCCTGAATGTTTGGCAACTTCATTCTTCAAGACAAATGGCAGCTGCTGCCCTTTGAGGTCTCAAGTCAAGTCTTTAGGGAAGCTCAAAGCCCAAGTGGGGAAGGGGGAGGCCTGTTCATTAGAGACTGCTCCAGGCTAAAACGTTCAAGGCAGACATTAGAAATGTATGTAAGACTTTTTAATTATAAAATATAGTGAAATATAAGGAGTAAGTCATTCCATATCCTTTGTTATGTTACATTAATATTTGTATTCTAGTTATAGAGTCTGACTTCCATCTAATCAACCATATTACTATATCTACCCAAAAGGAACAATTATACAACTGTGCAGGCATACACACATTTTTATGTTATGAGCCACTTTGTGCCCAATAAATCCCCAATAGGCATACACACATTTTGTATGTGACATCCCATTTTCAATCAATGTCCATACAAAAAAAACAGAAAAAATTTAGACCATTAGTGAATAAAGGAAAGGAAATGTAAATTCTGTGTGTGTCTAAGGCACTTTTGTTTTTCTCTTATGCTATGATAAAGAAACAAGGAAAGAAATGCTGAAAACAGTATTTTTAAAAGGTATGGGATAATTCTATTAACCACTAAATCTACCTGATTTAAAATTATACTACAGAAAAATGTTTAACAACCATGATTGCTCAAAAAATGTAAAGAAAACAGTTTGGGAATGATTTATATGAATGCATAGTGCTGAAGTTAACTACAACTAACCCAATAAAATAAAGCCTGTATTATTATATAGTAAGTAATAACCTTAGACAGAGAAACCAGAGCTCTTTCTGTTCTTTTGCATGCTCAGTTCCACAGCACACTACATTAAGAATTAAGTAAGTTGTAAATATGTCATACAGAAACAGCAGTCTTTAACTAAAAGCAGAAAATTCTCCTGCTGCTTAAGATATTTTATGCTACACAATAGTATGCTACACAATAGTATGCTACCCAACAGTATAACACCAGTTTACTGGGCAAACTTCCTATAAACTGATTTTATACTATTGGGTAGCAAATTCCTGAAAAAAACCTCATTATAGAATTTAATTCTAATACACAATAAACTTTTACCAGTAGTCATCCACTTACGACTGTACTTGAGACTACAATTTTGGTTGCAAATTGTGATGGTCATAAAGTCAGTCATCATGTGACAGGACCCAATGACTTTTTGGGACAGTCAGCGAATACCGTGATCCTTCAATAAACACTGCAGTTGTTCACTACGGGTTGTTTTTTGCCAGAAACCTAAAATAACTACATATTTCTGGCAGAAATGTTGTAAAATCATTGTCACATGACCACAGGACACTGCAAACAACAGTAAATATTGCCAAGTTGCCGAGTGCCCAAAATGTGGTCACATAACCAGATGGGCAGAACATTCGAACTTCAGAACTGGATCGAAAGTCCCATAAAAGAGAAAAGAGAATGCCATTGATTAAAAAAGGCATCACCAGTTTTTGGGGAGTAATTTGCTTTGTTAGTGCCAATAAATCAGAGGAAGAATTGCCAGAGTGAGGTGCATATGCAGCCTCTGGAATGGGTGGTGCTGGACGTGGTAATAAGACCAAGCGTGCCACCGTATCCCCCCGGTTCATTGTGACAGGGAGATTGGTATAAAATTGGACTTTTAGGGTGTCTTTATACGTGGGA